TGATGATGAAGATGATGAGCAGGAGGAGGAAGATGAGGATGATAACGATGACGATGACGACGATGATGACGATGCCGTTGAGGATGAGTATGAGGATGACACTGATGACGACGATGACGACGATGATGAGGATGATTATGATGCTGATTATAATGATGATGACGGTGATGGTGATGGTGATGGTGATGATGATGGCAATGGTGATGGTGGTGATGTTGATGCGGTTGATGATGATGTTGATGATGATGATGATGATGTTGATGACGATGATGTTGATGATGCTGGTGATTATGCTTGTGATGAGGCTGCTGATGAGGATGAGGATGCTGCTGCTGATACTGATGCTGTTGCTGACGATGATGATGATGATGATGATGATGATGATGATGATGATGATGATGATGATGATGATAATGATGATGATGATGATGAGGATGAGGATGCTAATGATGATGACGATGATGCTGATGATGATGCTGATGATGATGAGGATGATGATGATGATGATGTTGATGCTGATGCTGATGATGGTGATGGTGATGCTGATGATGATGGTGATAATGCTGATGATGCCGAGGCTGCTGCTGAGGATGGGTATGATGATGAATATGATGCTGTTGGTGGTGATGTCGATGAGGATGAGGATGAGGATGAGGATGATGGTGAGGAGGAGGATTATGTTGACGATAATGATGCTAGTGATGGCCATGGTGATGCTCATGCTGCTGCTGATGCTGCTGCTGATGATGATAATGCTGATGATGATGCTGGTGATCACTGATGATGGTATTGTTGACGGCGATGGTTATGGCGACGCTGACGACGATGGCTATGACTGACGACCTCACGGCGATGGCGAGGGCGATTGCCATACGACGCCGACGATGTGGATAATTAGAATGGTGATGAGGATATTGATGGCAACGACGATGATGATGGTAGTGAGGGTGATCATGATGTGGATGCTGACTGATGATTATGGTGATGATGTCGATTCTGAGGATGCTGCTGCCGATGATAATGGAGATGGTGATGGTGAGGGTGATTCCTGACTGGCGGTCCTCCAGCGGCCCTCTCTCGGGCCGAGGTCCTCTTGTTGCGCAACCAGCTCCAGATTTCCGAAGACCAGAGGCGGCAGCCCCCCCTCTCTTGACGTGGAGTGGTAGAAGGCAGTAGGCAGGAGGGGAGGAGGACGATGGGGAGGAGGATGACGACGACTGGGGAGGAGGAGGAGGAGGAGGAGGAGGAGGAGGAGGAGGAGGAGGAGGAGGAGGAGGAGGAGGTGGAGAACGCTGACGTGTGCGAAGTGGAGCTGGGCTTGGCTGGCACTGATGGTGCTCGCTCTCGTCGCCAATGCCGCGAGTGTGGTGGGCGCACCCCAGCCCGGCGGAGCGAGCTGGCGGCGGCGGAGGGAGATGTTAAGGAGGAGTAGGAGGATTCAGTCTGCCAGACTTGCCAGCTACCAGTCCTTCACCGCGGGCTCCAGCACAGCAGCTGCCTGACGGCTCGAAGGCCCGGGGAGAGGTGGCCGACTGGCGAGAGAAGGGCGAGGAGGGGTTCGGTCCCTGGCGGCCGACGGGCAATCGAATGGCCGACTGGCGAAGGGCTGAGGTGGGCCTGTCCCTCGGCAGGGGGAATGTTCAAACATAGTAAGAACATAAGCGAGGGGGGACGATGTTTCGATCATGTTTTGACCATGCTTGGGTCTGTTTTGACACTTTTGGAGTTTTCGTCCCAACTTTGTTCGTGGGGGGACCTGCCCGACCTCAGCGAAGGGAGGCCCCGGGACGAGCGCGCCCCGGGACCACGCCTCCTCCCGCGGCGGAGAGCTGCGCTCTGTAGCACCGTCCCGCTTGCCCACTCCTCCTCCGCTCCTCCTCCTCCGCCTGCCCCTTCCTGCATCCCCTGCGGTCTCGCGCACACCACCGGCTGTGCATGCCACGGAGCAGGCCCAGCGACCTCACGCTTGCTTGCTTGAGCTGCGCTGTCGCCGGTGAAGGAAGAAGCCTCGTGCGCCAAGAGGCGCTACGAGGTCGCGGCATTTCGACATTCGCCACGCCCTTGGCGCCCCCCTCCCAGGCGCACGGCGCACGTATTGGCATTCACGGCGTCCAGGCGTCCATGGGCGGCCCAGTTCAGCGCTCCCCGCAGTCCCCCCTGCGGCACCGCCTTGCTGCTGTCCGCCTGCCAGTCGCTCTTCCCTGGGACCCGACGCCGCGATAATCTGCAGCATCGTGCGAAGTCACGACCAGAGCCCCCAGAAGGGGGCCACATGCGAACCCTGCCCCTGCCCCCCACGATTTCTGAGGGGGAGGGTGGGTCTCACTGCGCTCGCGGCACACCTCGAGCCGGATCGATCCGCGAGTGCCCCTGGGCCCGCGTCCGGGCGAACACCCCCCGTGTGAACGTTCCCGGCGCCGCCCGGACATCGGGGCCTGGCCCGCCGAGAGGTACATCAGCTTCCACGAGCTGCTCGAGATGGTCAGCAACCTTCTGTTCG